CAGCTATAGCAATACAGATGACGAATTGGTGCTATTCATTACTCATTCTCAGAATGCCTCAAACGTAAGAGATCAAGTGTGTTGATTCTGCGTTTAAAAACATTCGTGCTCTGAGACTGTAAAGTATCTGGAATCTTTTAATGAATCTTATTGTGTTAGATTTGGTGCTTTGAGCTCTAGTCACGAAATAGCTTTGATATTCAATTGAGCAACTGAAGCAGACGCAAGCACCATATTCAGTGCAGTGGGAGTCGTTCGACGAAGCGAACATAATATCTGCTACGAACGTCATACAAGCGCTCACGGAGGAATTTCGACGAGATATGCGATCTTTGCATTTTGGGCAAAATTCATGAGAACGTGTTTTCGTAGGCTCGTAACTCGGCGAATTTCACAGACTGGAGCCTGAGTAATGCACATTCGATAGCACAATTCCTAGTAACTTTGACTGAGAAAAGCAAGCAGGCAAGGTTTCTGACAGATACGCGAGAAGTGCGGCCAAAATTGCGCACTTTCGTGATGCAGTTACAGTCACCTCACCGTATCTCTCCAAAAAGACCATGTAATCCTCAAAGACCACGATTTTCGTAAAGAGCGTGTTCGAAAATCTCTATAAGCTAAGTTTCCTTACAATTCAAGAGCATCAACATTTTGATCAAAATCCATCGGCAAGCTTCCGGAGCGTGAAACGAGAAAAAATGAAATAACCCGAACATATCGGAAAACGTGCTCGTAGAGGTTATGCGACCTGCTGATTTCGAAGCTCACGTCCGCTTAGCGAGATAGCTTCGTATTCTAGGGCTATGGAGAGTAGAACTTGGGACGACAAGATTTTTCCACAATTCACTAGCCGTTCTATTTCCTTTAAAAAGAAATCTGCGGCTACTATTTAGCACATCATAATCTACAGGAAAAGTACTGTCGAAAGGTCTTTGCTGGATTTCACTCGAGGCAATGCTCGCTGCTTTACACCTTCGCGAAAAGACGTTCTCAGAAAGATTCAAGAATACTGAAATCGAAATATCAAGGACATGCTGTATATAAAAAGATTCGCCTTGATGAACTGAGCAAGGCGCTGTTTTCGGATTCAAAATATACTTACTCCGAAGGAAATTATGGCGAGTAAAATTTAAAAACGCGTGATTTTTCCAAAACTCACCAACGCTTCTATCTCCTTTGGAAAGAAGTCTGAGCCTATTTTTCGAGGACAATAATCTACAAGAACAGTATTATCGAATAGTTCTTAGCGAAGTCTTCTATGTTGGGTAGCCGTTGCTTCACATATTCGCAAAATGACCTCCGCAGAACAATTTGAAAAAACTGGAAACGGAATATCGTAAACATCGTACCCCGAGTTCCTATATATCAGAAGATTCTCCGCGCCGAGCTGAATCGAATGGTGGTTTTGTATTCAAAATTCGTCCACTCTGAAGCAAGATATGGCCACGCGACGCTGATGTATGGACATGTCCATACATGTATGGACATGTACGGACATGTACGGACATGTGCGGACATGTCCATACAGACATGTACGGACATGTGCGGACATGTCCATACATGTATGGACATGTCCGTACATGTCCATACATGTACATACATTCGCGTCTTGTTTTCAAAAAATGTGAGCGGTATTGTAATGTGCCTACTATTTCTTTGTTTATATCTTGTCATGAGAAGCTGTATCTTGTCTTTCGAGAAGCTCTGCATATCACTTTGTAGAGCTGGCTTCGACATAGATTTACAGAAGCGAATCAGTGATCGCTCTTCTACTACAGGATTACGGTGAGCTTCCGTCATGTGACGTCACTGTGGAAAAGCTGCAGTCTTAAATAATCTCAAAGAAAATCCTAAAAACTTGTTTCATGGATTTTCATGGACTCTGAGTTCAGTAGTCAACTTTTCACAAGGTTATAAAGCTTCACAAACAGTGTAACCGCGTTTTTAGGAACATCGAAACAACGGCTGCACTGCTTGCCTGGCCTAGCTTTCTGGAAGTATAATGAGATGCGAAATTCATAGTTAGAATCAGCAACTCTAACCTATGTAGGGTTGCTCTGTTTCCTGAGGCAAAATATGACCCTTCATGTCTCGAAACTCTCTTCAAAATTTCTACCCTACTTCTACACTAATGAAGACGGGTCGGTGATTGGCTCCACGCGGAAATTCGAGTTTAAGCCAGCTCCACAGAATAGTACCTAATGCTTTTCTAGGAACTTCATGACAAGAGAGTTATTAACCCATTAGGCACATTTTTGGAACACCTGTGAATAGTACGGGAAAGCATATCTGTAAGCAATTTTAGAAGCCTAACCGCCTTCGCTATATCCATAGCTTAGACGCTGTAAAGTGGTGCTAGTATGTTAGACTGCACACAAGTCTACTCTCATTTACCGTTAAGTATCGCCAAGGTCTTTGGTGTGCCTTTTCGTTTCGTTGTCGTTGGAAAGATATCACTTGAGTTTGGTGATGTGAGACAAATGGTGTCAAGCTACATCGTAGCCATTTGTTGCTTGATATCTAAGATTGCACATCGCGCGAGCCAACTCACAAACTACTACTCACAATTTATATATAGTGGAGAGCACTTCGTCTTTCCACTATATGAATTCTGGCATTACTAAAAACCGTCTTATAAACTGGCTGATGAGCGATGTCGCTTGCAAGGAAAGGAGGGTAGTGGAGAGACGAGGTCTCATAGATAGCATTGAACCCTAACTTCGAATTTTTCTTTATCTGTGCAGCACCTCTGAGTGCGAAATTATGAGGAGAAAATTCGTGCCCAGTCCCAATGGAGCAATTGTCAAAATATTGCTAGTTCAGTAGAGAAAGCGACAAGAAGATATATTTAAACTCAGAACATTTTTTGCATGAAACCCTAATAATCATTGCTGCGCTAGGAAATTACTTTGTCTTCCTGGCACGTTGCAGTAGATGGAACGACACTCTCTGTGAATCTCATCAGTTGATATTGTACTAAGTAGATCTTGAAAAAGGTGAGCGCTTCAGGCAGCTACCTGCTAATCGAACAAAGTCAGAGTTTTGTTGGCGTGGCTGCAGAGATGTTTGATCTAGTCTGCAAGCCGTTTTTTGCATTCAGGCGCTGAGAAAGACGACTTGCCGAAACGTCAGCAAGAAACTATCAATCTGAGTCATGGCTCAGAACCACGTAGTACGTTATCATCACTGATTTTATGATAGTGCATTCATTTTCGGCAATAATTGCTCATAACTCTCCGTATGGAAACGCTCCGCAAATGATGAAGGCAGATCTGAACTCAGCGTTTCATACCAACAGGCTGATTTACATCTTGAAAGACCACAAATTTCCTTGTTAGACGTGCTTGTAAATCAAATAAGGAACAAAGAAACAAGGAAAAAGCGAAGCACACATTGTAAGCTCTCGTGCATTATCCGTGTTCTGCACATACGGTGAGTTAAAAATTGTCCGCTGAGTTCAGATCTGCCTTCATCATTTGCGGAGCGTTTTCATACGAGGAGTTATGAGCGTTTATTGCCGAAAATGAATGCACTATTATAAAATCAGTGATGATGGCGTATTATGTGGTTCTGAGCCATGACTCAGATTGATAGTTTTTTGCTGACGTTTCGGCAAGCCGTTTTTTTTCATCGCCTGGATGCAAAAAAACGGCTCGCAAACTATTTGATAAAGCGTCTCTGCAGCCATGCCAACAAAACTCTAAAACTAAGTTCGATTAGCAAGTAACTGCTCGAAGCGCTCACCTTTTTCGAGAACTACATAGTACAATATCAACTGACGACTGATGAGATTCACAGAGAGTGTCGCACATTCCATCTTGCAACGTGCCAGGAAGAGAAAATAATTTTCTTGGCGCAGCAATGGTAGTTATTAGGGTTTCACGCAAGAAATGTTCTGAGTTTAAATATAATATATCTTCAGTCGTCGCTGTCTCCATTGAACTAGCAATATTTTGTTGATTGACTCCATTGGGACTACGCATGCAATTTTCTCTTCACAATTTCACACTCAGAGGTGCTAAATGGAGTTAGGGTTCAGTGCTATCTATGAGACCTTCTTTACTTGCAAGCGTCATCGCTCATCAGCCAGTTTATAAGACAGTCTTTGAGGAGCGCCAGAATTTAGAGAGACGTAGTGCTCTCCACTATATAAATTGTGAGTAGTAGCGTGTAATGAATCGTGTATCTTAAGCACCTATTCACAGCACCCGAAGGTAGCAACCTATTTACGATTGATCACGCACGAGGACTGGACGTTGTTGCGCCTTATTAAAATAGTTTGGCTTGGAAGAGACAGCAGACGGTAAGAGACTAAGGTGCTTTTGATCAGGGGACGCCGCAGTGTCCGCGGTGGCATTTTCTCTGCATGCGGCGAATCGCCTATCTCCTTCTGGAGAGATTAGAGCATTGACGTAGTAATAGGCTGACACGCAAGCCAGCATAAGTTGAATATCTTCACGAGGAATCTTGGTACTCAGCTAGGGTGCACAAAGAATGGACGTCATCACAGCACCTGAAAGGAAACTCTCACTGATTGAATGTTTTTCTCAAGTCAAAACTACACATTTTATCTCGATGCCTTTCAGAACTTTGATGATATCCAAGTATTCTTGTTTACTCAGCCAAAATGGATTTACTCAGCTATTCACATTGCATTTCCTAGTCTGTATAATTGCGGCAATTTGTATGCCCACTGCACTGCTCAGCCTCTTTCAAAAAGCGTGCCTTCTCAAAAAGGGAATATTTTCACCCAGCATAAGTATAATAATCAAAAAGATGGTGTTTATACAGAGATGAAGCTATCTTAACTTCTCTGACCTAAGCTCAGGCAATTTTTGATAGCTTTTGTGAACCATGCATGCAACTTGTGGTTATCTCAAGGACACTAGCGGTATTGCTAGATTGTAAATCTTTTGCCACAAAGTTATGAGACTTTGATATAGGAGATTTTCTTTTACATTCGTATAAATTTGTCCATCCAACATTGCCTTGCTTTTGAGTCGCCGAATCGTTCGACTTGGCAAGAAGGAAAGAAACAGGGCGATATTGTTCGTGATTATTGTCTCAAGGCAGCTCATCCATCTCCAAAGTATTGAATATTCTGAAAGCAGGAACAAGGCGATTACAGTGGTATTCTTCTCATTGTTCCAGATTTTCTACAGAACTTACAGCATTTACAGAAAGAAACTTCTGTAATCTGCACCTCCATTCACCAAGTGCTTCAAAGAATAAAACCCAGATAAACATTATATTTCGAGCACAGAACGAGACGGTTCCGATCCCTTCTAAAGCTGTGGCTGTTGTTCATTCACAAAAGTTACAATTTTCAAATTCAAGTCCACCATATATCTGTGGACACAAGGACTCCTTGCCAATACCACTCAGTGCACCAAACTGTATCGGACTCACAGGATAATTCACTAAAAAGGGGACTTAATGCACTAAAAAGGGGACTATTCCAAGTCCTCCAACCGAAGCAAACTTCTTTGTCCCTGAAGAGACTTTCGCGAACAACACAGCGCTATCTCCGAACCTCGAACGAAGGCCACAAAACCAATTGCAATGGCTCTTTCAACTATCAAGTATGGACGTTCCTTTGACTGATTCTACGAAACGCCGAACAAGTTCCGCGTATCGTTCACCTTAACCTCATTTGCACATGAAAGAAGAAAGAACCTTGGAAAGCGAAGATCAGTCGATGAAAACCGCGAACAGCCGAACTCACGGCCATTGCTCGTAGCCATGCAGGCAGCTGTGCATACAGCGCACTGCCGACCATGGAACGGGATTTCGGCCGAAGATCGGCGAAATCCCGTCGAGTTCTCGAGAGCAATCAAAAAGTTATGAATTGAATCTCTCACGTGAAAATTCACAGAAGAGTGATAATAGCTTATTCTCCGTCGGTAGGAAGGTAGTCATCCTTACTAAGAATGATATAACGCGCTGCCTCAAATTTAATTTCTGTCGGACCCCTCGTCCCCCAACCCCTCTATCCTCGTCTGACATTCACAGAAACGCATTTGACTGAGCGCGGCGATTTTCGGAACATTCCACTTTGTTTCCACTCAAATGGCCTTGCCTCTCTTCGCTCGTAGCGAAAAAAAAAATCGTCGCGCCGGCGACACTTCAGAGATGAGGCGAAAGAGTGTGCGCGTATGCGAGACGCACGAAAAGTCGTCCACACTAAGTGCATCGAGCCGGTTGACACGACGACGCGAGCGTGCACGCGATTTCGCGAGACGCAGGCAAATCGATGAGCGAGCGACGAATTCGACGCGCGCGCGCAGCAAACAAACAACGTCGGCATAAAAAAAGCGCGCGCACTCATCGTGAACGAAACCAGCACGACAACGGATGACGTGTGCTTGCATTGTGTTCGTGATGCAAAGCAGACATGGACGGTGCTATTAAAGGCACAAAAAGAAGGCCTGAAAATAGTTTTGGTTTTTGCTACTTATTCTACTGGAAATTGATAGTAAAAAATTTTTTGCACAGCAGAAATAATTCTCTGAAAATCAATTCCGCAGTTTGATTCAAAACTGGAAAGAAGGGTTCTTCCTCTAGGAAGAACTGTTCTTTCCAGTTTTGAATCAAACTGCGGAATTGTTTCAATGATTCGCATTTGCTTCCACCGAGCCATAGAGCAAGTCGTGTCGGTTCTGGCCAGTTTTATTCTGGTATTCTCGCATTCAAGCAAACATCGGTGTACAGTGATTTTGAGAAGTTATCATAGCGCAAAATTCAGAATTTCTTCCTGAAGTGTTTAGCTGATTAGGTGATGCTTTACGATTGGCAAACAGGTGTTATTTACACAGCTTTCGATGAAAGATCGTCCTTTACTGCCTTTGGTGAAAGCACAAACAGCAAGAGCGTTAGAAAAAACTTCTTCATCTCTTAACCAAAACTCACTTTATTCAGGTAATCGAGTTCACACACGTTGATGAGATACGTTTAATTTGTTGCTGTTTATCTTTGAAAAATTCGTATTTATCTCTCTTCTTGCGAAATTGCGAACACAGTTCCGTTTGCTTACTATCAGCGGAATGATAGCATGTGCACACTCAATACAGAATAATCAATAAAAAGCCTAAAAAGGAGAGTTCATAGATCGCACGATACGATAATAACCCCCCCCCCACCCCTTCTCCCTCCTACCTATCACCCCCCGTCCCCTCCTCGTCCCTGTTCATACATGCGGGCACTGCAATTTCGACCTCATCTCGTTTGCCGCGACTAATGGGGCCGTTGCACGCAATATGTGTGCTTTTACTGCACTTCGATCTATGTGCGCTCCCCTCACTCGGCCCCCGTTTTCAGCCTTGTCGAGGAGAACCGAGCACAGCGAATCGATGCTGCTTCACATGCAAGGTTGCACTAGAACTCATTTGCCTAATAGGATGGTTTTTTCGCTGCTTCCGCAGCTCTTCATGGGGACAATACGAATGAACACTGTTTGTGCAGTTTTACCACCAAATTAGCGGATCAGTTGTGTGATTAATTTGTCGAAGTGACATCACTATGCATTTTACTTTCAATCTTTGCTGCATGGTTAAAAGTGTTGTAAAAAAAGGTGGATTATCATGTACTTCACCCGCCTTTGTTTGGTATTAGATAGAATCGACAAAAGGCATTATGGAATTTCTTGCGCTTTTTGCTGAAAGCTTCCCAAAATGGAGCTGGATACACCGAACAAATGCTAGTTCTAAGCTATACTGCGATCGCGAATGAACGCTGACTTTCCGAGTGTCTCCACAAACTCCCAAATTATTTCAGAATTGGTTCATTGTTTGAGTACAATTTTACTGTGAACATATCCTCTAGAATCTAAGGAAGTGGTAACCCACTTCTATTAAGCCATTCCGATCCAAACAAAGACATCCATTATCTGCATTAAAAAAGGGTTATGTGTATGACGTATCCCTTTCTTAGACATATGCGCCGAAAACATCAACAGATGTTAAGTTTGCAACTGTGGCACATTCCCCTTAACTCCCATGATTTATTCAAAACAATGCCTGTTGAGACCAAGTAGAAGCAATAACCCGCTGACCTAATACTAATTTTGAAGCTTACACATACACCAACTTTAATTTGTATAGATTTATATCTCTGAGCATGGAGGGGCCAGAAGTAGCCCGCGTGCGAAAAGACAAACAATACAGAAATAATGGAAGCTAGTAATTTATATTTAACGCGAAAAGAATGAGAAAGATAGCAAAAACCATCGGGTGAACATTTCATATACATGGGGAGGGGGCATAAACTTCGTCGCATGAGGAAGCTGAGAATGTTCGCGGGATGTGATCGAATATTACATAGATAGCGCAGAACTGCTGTAATGGGAAAACACAAAATAAACAGACATACATCCACAATAGTATATACCTGTGTGCGAATAAAGGGGGATCAGTAATGAAGTCACGCTCAACAACTTTGATAATGATCGACACGAAGAAAAGAGCATGCGCGAGGACAAAGAAAATTAACCGGAGAGAACCGTACGAAACGAGAGACGCAGTTGAAGGTTACACACAACACACACAAACTATCTACATCTTAATCTTAAGCAACACATTCCTCTTCCTACAACCCTAAACAATGACCGAAAAATCTAGACACTACCTAATATGATTTCAGGCGAGAGTAAGTCGCAGTCACCGGGATATGCAGCCACTTTTCCGTGCCATGAGCCCGTGTCAATTATTAGAGTAGAATTTTATAGTGATCAAGCAACGCAACAACTCTCAACATTTTCTGATGTATTTGCAATGGATGCTACGACGATGGAAGTTGTCGTGAGGATTCATCAGGGGTAAGAACGACAAAAAGATAAGAAGCCTGCCGAGCGGTGATCGACTCGTAAAGTTGGGGAGAATAGTACTGGAGGTAGCTCGAGGGAAACTCGCCTGGTGGAAACACGTGTACCAAACATCCGACTGTTGTCGCCTGCAAATAACTTATAAATTATACAATGCAAAAAGTGAAGAAAGAAGGATTCCACGTATATTAAAAAACCAATGAAAATTCGAAGAAAGCACTAAATCACAGCTTTCAGATATTTCGAAGGGCCGAATGATTGCGAATTACTTGAACGAACACTATACAAGAATCTTAAAGAAAAATTGCTCCAGCAAAAGTCCTCACCGTTTGCGGCATAACAGCTATACCAGCAGCCTGCTTGCTTGTGAAATATTCGATGAATGCGGTCCGAAAAATATCCGAATTGCTAATGATCTCATCACGCGACAGTCCGCATGGCAAACATATCATACAAGCAAAACGTCCCGCATCCGACATTTTTGCCACCATTCCTGCAACTAAAAGTTCAGTTTGATTTGAGTACCCATTTTTACCACCCCGGGTGATGTAACTGCTATACTTAAACACAACTTTATTGAGATCCTGTCATGCAGCAAACTATGACTTGGTCTGCTGCATGACAGGATTTACAAACTATGATTTCGCCGTCGCTGTGGCAACCTACGCGATGAGGCATAGCTCCCCATTTTCTGAAGACCCACAATCAATCGCAGTGCCTTCACATCTAGTAGGGCAATACCATTTTTTATCGCAAAGCCGCAAACTTGATTCCCCGTCGCACGATGGCAGAGTATAAGTGTAATCGCGCAAACACTAGTCAGTCGGTAAAGCAAGTGCATCAAAACATGTACATTCACCTATAAACAGCCCACATACACACTCATTGATGATAACAAAGTTTTAAAGGTCTACTTCGAAACCAATGCAGAAACGATCTCACTCAAAGAAAGGGAGAAAGTTCAATCACTAAACTAACAAACCCTCTCCTTATTAAGGATGCCAAGATAAGATACGCCCTCGCAACAATTGACATCAAAGCTAAATCACATCTGATGCCACCGCTGTAAGACGTTGCTCACGCATCAACTGATGCATTATCCAGAGTGATACTATATTTGAATTTCCTCCTATGCTGTAAGCGTTAGCGCATTCAAAACAAAAGTGAGCAAAAATTTTCGTTCCTATCGCGTTTCAAAGTGAGGCCAGTGTATTAGAAGCGACGCTGACACCACCACGACATCGATCACAGCTGCGTGGTCGAGCACTCAACAGCAGTCATGAGCCCTCTTTCATAAGCATGCAGCGTAGACGAAACGAAATCAATAATTTGAAAAAATAGGAGAGAGAGCATTTCGATTTCAAATGTCAAAAGCAAGATGAACAAGTGTTCGACAACCGACCTTGGACTTGTGCATGTTCAAGACGCATTCGTTGGTTCACTCGAATCGGCACGGCATTCTTGGGATCGGAATCGACATCCCCGAGACATCGTGTCAGCATTTCCATTGAACCGTAGACAAGATGCATTTGAACAGTCGTTTCCGACTGTTTCATCGCTAACGTTCCTTGCCATACCACTGGAAATCGCTGAAAAAAAAACTTTGAAGGAGGGGAGTGTGTCACTTGAAGGATTTTATTTGTAACCACCAACTGCTGTAATTTAGTCTACGAATTTGTAACTACCATCTAGCTCAAAATGTGCAAAAAAACACAAATTTCGGTCTTATGCGATGAGAGCGAAAGCAAACGAAGTCAGTTCAAACACCGTGGATTCCTCATCCGTCGCATCGATAATTGCAAATCACAATAAAATCCATAAAATCCACCTTCAGTTGCTCTTCGTTTGTAAAGATATTTTCCAAGGAGTGCTCCTCGTCGGGGTCACGATGGGAAAGAGCCAGCTCCCGTAACTGATTGATCAGCTCCTGAGAAAGAGGAGCCACATCCGGTTCCGAGATCCGAGGAGAACTGCAGGCTGGTGACAGTGATGTAGCCCAAGCAAGCGTCTCAGAGACAACTTCCCGAGCTGAGGGTTCTGAGCAGAGATGCGAACGACTGCTAACTTTTCGAAATGCAGACCCAATTGAAGCAATTCCGCCCTCCGCTTTGCTATGCGGTCGCATTGCGATAATGTCTAAGATTTCATCAATGGAAAGCTTACGTCCGATTGGAGAAGAGGTACCACTACTGCTACAACCAGTCTCCTTGCTGTCAGCATCTGATATCGACGACTTGATCGAATCGCTTTTCGGTTCCGGCTTAGAATCACCTTCATAGATGTTGTAGATCTCCTCATTCAGAATCCTTTCCAGACACCGTTCGATGTCGTCTTTAGAAAACGGTATATGAGAGACAGAGATGCTTTCCGACTTGCGTTTGGCAGTGAGCACCTTGGTGTCAGAAAAGACGCGCTTCCTCATTTCTTCTGCCTGGCTAGAAACATCTGTGGATGGGAACGAACGCTTTCGATCGCTTGACTGGCCACTTCCGTTTTCGTTCGTTCGCTGCTTCAACATCTGCAAAGCAGCTAGCTGCGGGTTCACTGCGGGTAGCTGGCTTCTAGCAAGAGCTGCGTATTGCTGGATAAGCATTGCCTGTTGCAGATTTGCAACGGACTGCGCCGCAGCCTCTGGCTGTGAGCTGATCAGAGAGAGCAGATCGGCCGTCGGACTCGAGACCGAGAGTCTATCGGAGCTACCCGCAGCAGCAGCATTCATCAGATTCATGCTCAACATCATTTTCGCTGCATTGGCCAGAAGAGGATTTTGCGCAGCCAGCTGAGCAGCAGCAGGCAGGGTTCCCACGGACTGCTGATTTAGAGCTAGAAGACTGTTCATGGCGATAGCCCCTGCCAAGTTCAGGATGTTCACTGTCTGATCTCCCGTTCCCTGAGGATCAGCAGTAGACAAGGGGTTTCCTGCTGATGACGGATTCATTGGCTCTTCGGAAGATGTTAAGCAAAAAGAAGAAAGATGCTGAGGTTCAGTGGCCTTTCGACTTCGCTTTACACCGATCTCAGTCGCCCGCAGTGGTGCGCCGTTTGTGCTCATTCAATTTCGTCACCGAGGCACAGTAGAAGGGAGATGAAGTATGCACACAATAGGCAATAAAGTGTACAGTGTGTGTGGAGTGAATCTTTGTCAGATAACTTCGCTACGTATGCTGATGAGATCGATACCAGTACGCAAAGCCAGTAGTGTAACAGGAACCGATGGAGTATGTCCGATGATGTTGAAAACGAGAACGAAGTATAAGTAGAGTGAGTAATAAGGAAAAATAGGCTCCTAAGTAGTGAACCCGATTAGACGTCCTAGCCCTGCAGGACCGGACTGAGGTAGATGAGTTGAGGTATGTAGGAAGGAAGGAAGATAACGGATGCCACTCAAGAGAGTCACATTCGTTCAAACATCGTCTCGTGGAGAAGAAAGCGGTCCTTAAGCCCAAAAACGAGGAGGCAGCCGCAGCACACACAACTCACACACTACAGCACGCGTTCCTTCCAGCGGGCAAATAATTCACCATAGTACGAGAGGGCGAGAGTGCCAGAGACCCTGCGTCGCTTCCCCGCCCAAAACTACGCTGCAAGACAGCCAAGAGAGCCGAGCTCAAAACAGCGCGCTCGGAGCGAACACGTAGTTAGCGTATGCGATAGTGAACGTATCGCGGAGTCGACAGACACCTCGCGTGATGGCGCGAATTGCAGCTAGCGAGGAGAGGTTTCGCGGCACTTACTATGCCCTGAGATCGTGCGATCGACGCGCAATGGCTGCGCAACGAAATTGCACGCCCCGCATAATGCGCCAACGAGAGACGCTGATGTGAAAGAAGCGAACGGCGATCAAAGTCGTGCCAGGCGCCACCGGCCACGTTCGACCGAAAGTTGCATTCAAGTTTGCTACGGAGGAACGTCGTAAACAATGCACGAACCAACGACACCAACGGATGTTGAATAAACTGCTCAACAAAAACTCATGCTACATATTAGGCCACTAGGTTATCTATTTCGAGAAGATTACTTCACCTGATGGTGCCGAGAGACTTGATTTTTTGGTAGGTAAGTTGATAAAGCACATAAAAGCGTTTGAACCTTACTGCAAGAGCAAAACCAACCTTTGCAACATCGGCATGATGTCCTGGCGTAGAAGCTGATCCAGAAGGAGAAGGAGTTGCACCTGACACTGATGGAACCACCGTATGCGCTGGTGTCTCCACAACCCGAGGCTGCGGCGGCACTGCCACACTCTTTCGCTCTTGCTGTGATGTTATAGGCTGAGGAGTCATAGCTGCAGATGACACAGACGGTGTCTGAGAAAGCGCTGGTGAAGCCTAAAAATTCGATTTGTCAAGACGCAAAGAGAATACTTGCAGAAATGCATCGTTGTGTGAAAAGATTCTATAAGTGTCACTATTCTTCCTCACCTGAGAAGCTATGTGCTGCTGTTGCAGTTGTTGCTGTTGTTGTTGCTGCAGCAACTGTTGTCGATATTGCGCTGCATAGAGGGCTGCGGCCTGCTGCTGATGCGTGGATTGCACATGTGCCTGCTGCTGTGCCTGTAGCACTTCACGCTCACGCAAAACTCGCAATTGTGTCTCCTTCAGAAGACGTTCACGTTCTTGTTGCTGTTGGAGATGGGGATTTGGCTGCGGAGAAGGTGACGCAGCAGCGACGGCTTCTTGCTATAATTCGAAAATTTAACTGAGAGACATGCCGCTAACTGTAAATATTTATTAGTAGATATAAGGAGAGGGCCTAACCTTAATCTGTTGCTGCCTTTGCAACTCCATTAGATACTGTTGAGCTTGAGAGGTGGGAAGCTGTTGCATGGCTTGAATCTGCGCCAAAAGAGCCGTTGCCATAGGTTGTCCAAATGTTTGCGACACTAAAATAATGGATAACAAATTAGGCGACTGACATCAATTAGCTAAGCTCTTACTTTGTTGATAATAAGCAACAGGATCCCTTGATGCCATTTGCAACATCTGCATCTGCTGCAACTGCATCTGCAGAGTTGCTTGCGCAGCTAATGCAGCCTGCTGTTGACTAACAGGAGTAACGGACTGCGGTGCTGGCGACGGCGTAGCTGCAGGGGTCTGCGGCTTTGCGATGCGCGACGCAGCCGCTGCAGCTGCGGCCGCTGCGGCGGCTGCCTCTTTCTGCTGTTGTTGTTGCTGCTGCTGCTGCAGAATTTGTTGTTGCAGATGATGTTGTTGAATTTCCCGCTCACGTTGCTGCTGCAGCTCGCGCTCCTTCTGCAAAGCTGCTTCACGCTCTCTTTCACGTTGTTGTTGAAGTTCAAGCTGCTGCTGCGCAAGTAGCTGTTGCTGTTGTTGTTGTTGCAACGCAATCTGTTGCTGTGCATACTGTTGCTGGAATAGCTGCTGCTGTTGTGACAGCGGCCGTTGTTGGCCCTGCACCTGGTGATACATCTGCTGCTGCTGATGTTTTTGTTGCTGCTGCTGTTGATGCTGTTGTTGCAGAACATTAGCATGAGTGAAGGCGGGTTGTTGGAAACGATTGTACAACTGCTGGAGACCAGCTTGTGTAACGACGGGTGTACCTTGAGTGATACCGCCAGTGACAGCATTAGGCAACACAGACGCATATCCAGAAGATGGCACTGGAGAGGCCTTCAGTGGTTGTACCGCTGCAGGCTGGACAAATGCTGCTTGCTCGATTGCTGTCGGCCTGTTCGGCGACTGAAGTGGAGTAGGAGCCTTCCGATCCGTGATCGAAACACTGATGGGCGCAGACATCTGAGATGATGCAGGCTGCTGATGCGATGGCATACTGCGCGATGGTTCCACTTCTTTGGCAGAGGACTGTGTGCAGGGTACTTCCACTATATCGTCATCATCTTCAATCACAATGACACTCGCTGACGGTGTTTCGTTTACGGGAGGTGGCCTTTCCTCTGTCGCAGGGACAGAAGCCTCTAAAATTTTGTCTGCAGCAGGTTTCTCTTCCAAGATAGGTTCTTCCACAAAAGATTCTCGCAAAAGCTGTTCCTGAACAATTGCATTTAGTGAGATAGATATGAGCGCACTTACTAGCTTACATCTGAAACGTCGCCGGGTGCTACATCGGCATCTTCTTCGTCTTCATCGTCTACGTGGGCAATGGCATCAGCAGCGCGGTTGGTCTCATCACTGGATACGGCAATGCTTGATGATGCAACTGCCACTTCAGCTGCTGTGGATAACCCAGCTGATGCAACCACAGCACCATTCTTGCCAGGAACAAAGACCAAAGTGGGATATTGCGGCTCCTCCTCCTCATCATCGCCATCAAATATTGATTTCACGGCGTCTTCAGTCTCCTAAAGAAATGACCTAAGTCAAATACCACACAGGCAAAAGGAAGCTTTACAGGATGTTTCTTATACAGACCAAAATATTCCCTTAACTTTGTACGAGCATCCACGACATTGGAACTTTTGCGCCATATCTCAGACAAAAGTACAATACCGCGCTCTTTTTGAGAAACGAAATTTACGCTGTCAGAGGTAGGTGCCAGAGTACGCGAATATTTTGTTCAGGTTGGGGTCCCGCGCAGCATTGACATCACTTGGATTGACGCCAGCATGGTGAGTGACGTCCATTCTGCGCGGATCCCACCCCAACCTGAGCAAAATATTCGCTTACTCTGGCACCTACCAGAGGAGGATGTACAACATGCAACACCGCAAGCGAACAAGCACGAAGAACTGTACAAATTACTATAAGTAATTGCCTACCTGTAAATCCGATATACCACGAGCTGCCTTCTCGGCTTCTGCATCAATCGGGGGTCGCACAGGCTCTTTCTGCGCCGCTGATGGATTCGCAGAAGGTACCGCGAAGTCGTGCTCCATATCTCTATCCGACGCTTGATCATCGCGCTGCTCTAGCTGTTCTTGTACATGCTCTGCCTCGGCTTCAACTCTTTCTTCACCAACAGTACTACTTTTGGCGATATCATCTTTGGGTGTTGGTGGATGCACAGGAGTAGGAGACACCATTCTGGTGTCTTCTTTTGATATTGTTCCATCCTCAGATGATGACATAGCTTCATCCGCATTTTTGACGCTAGCATATCCAGCTGCTGCATCAACAAGTTCCACGGCGCGATGCCGTACACGCTGAGAGTCAGAGTCAGACTCGCTCGCTTCTTCCGGTTCGGATGCAGCAGAGCTGGAGGTGCTCGCACGACGAACAGGCAGGCCTGTTGATCCCGTCACATTTTGCTGACTATTGGCAGGAGCTGAGAGAGCAGCAGCGAAGACGTCATCATAATCTGTCGACTCGTCCTCCGAATCGGCTTCCGTCGATGGCTGAAGCACACCACAGCACATAACAACAACGTGACTATCAACAACATAACAAATCAATGATATGCACCGACTCAAACTGCCTAAAGAGCTACTCCTAAGCAGTTTGGTCATCTAAGTTTGCTACTGTAGAAAAAGGGAGAAAAACAACAAATCGAAAACATCAAAATTGCCCCGAGATTACTTTGTTTATCAATGTACTCACCTGAGTTACGGAGACAGTTGATGTGGCGACCGCAGACTGGCTTGGGACAAAGATTTTCATAGCAGCTTTGGTCAGAAGTTTTGGTCGACTCTCTGACGAAGATGGTTGCGCATCCTGAGTTGTCAAGGAGGCGGCACCTGCTGAAGGATCCGAATTTGCTTCAGCAACATCGCCTTGGGTAACAGTCTCCTGGAACTGACACTATTAATGTTTTACAATCAACATTACATCTCATGACTACCACGGCTTCGTCCTGATGTGGCTCCACTTTTGTTACTTCTGTCGCAACCTTTGTTTCTACAGGAGTACTATCGACGTGTTTCTCTTCATCAGGCTCCATTTTCACGTCAGGCTGCTCCTCGTCTTGTTGTTTAGGTACCGTATGACTATCCTGTGTCTCCTCAACTTTCGATGACTTCGGCGTTTCGTCATCCGAGTCGCTTGAAGCATCAGATCTGTTACTCTTCTTCGGCCGCTTCGCAGATTTGGACTCTGCAAGAACAAATTTTTTTCGGTGAGTCATGACATACGATCAAGTTTACCTGGCTCATCAGCTTTCCTCTTTGGAATTTCTTTCTTCTCTCTCTTCTTCTCAATCTCAACTCGCTGCTGTGGCTTATCTCTTCGTTCTTTCTCAGCTTTATTAGCCTTCTGAGGTTTGTCCGGACCGAAAATCGATTCGAAATCCAATTTATCTGACTTCATCTTCTTTTTCGGTGCTTCGTTCTCATCGGAGGAATCCTTTAAAAATAGAGATGAAGAACGCAAGAAAAATAAATTCACTTTTCCCACCTTTTTTACTTTTTTGCGCTTCTTTTCTTTTTCCTCAGCCTGAAGCTTCTCAGTATCAGTGCTATCAGCTCCAAATACATCGTCCATGTTTATGTTTTTATTCTGAATCATTTTCAGCGATCGAGGTCTATAGACTCGTAAGGAAGGGCAAGTAGAAAATCGTACATCTTTAGTATATGAAACATCGTCTTTAGTCCTTACATGTTTTGCATGTTTGTCTGAAGTCCTTTTGCTTGCTTTCCTGTGTTGTTTGCGCGCTCCACCATCGGAGTCTTCCGAGTCATCTGTAGACCAATCACGTTTTTTCCGCGCACCCTAAGAGGAAGTCACATGAAAACAGATTCTAACCAGATTTTACCTTCTTGCCGATTCACAAACAGACGAATAAACCGCTGAAAAAAATTATCTACCTCCTCATCACTGGTATCCGCATTTTCAGTTTTTTCCACCCTGACTTCTTCCTCTTCCGATGAGTCATCCGCTTCCGAGTCAATCAATTTCCTAGTAGAACTTTGTGCATCATCCTCCTCGTCGGAAGAGTCTAGTTGAATTCGGATGCGCTGTAACAAACAACATTTTATGGCAGGTGTGTGCATAGATCAGCGCTCACCTTCTGATTCTTCCTCTCGTTATTCTTGTCTCTCAAACGCTGAAGAGCCGCCGATTTCTTGGTACCATCGTCCTTGTTGGCAGCAGAGCTCCTTCTCTTGACACGGTCGTACATTGACAGCCCCCCGCTTGCTCCGGCACTCGAACCACTGTCCTCAGCAACAAGATGAGCTAATTGCTTACTGAACGCTTTCTGTAATCAAAGTGTGTTATAAAGACGCAGATTTCGTTATAAGGCAGAAGGAAAATTTACTTGATAATCGCTATCATCACTGGAGCTATCGTCATCGGAAGAGCTATGTTTGGACTTTTTCTTATGCTTTTTCTTCTTCTCCCGCAAGCGTTCTCTTTCAGCCTTTCTTGCCTTTTTCTTATCTCTTTCCCTTTCTTCTTCTTTCAGTCTTTTGCGCTCATCTTTCCCCTAAATTTGATTTTTGGTAAAGACAGTCCGCTTTAGGTCTTGGCAAGCCTAAGATTGACACATTGATTGAAAACAAAATTTCAAGAGATCACACCTTCTTGTCTCGCTTCTGTTCCTTAGTTTTCTCGCGCTCTCTCTTTGCTCGTTCTGCTTCCTTTCGCTTTGCTCTTTCCTCCTTTGTTTCAAATGAGCCATCTTCCTTTCGACGCTGAACAGAGTTGAGATTGGAAAAGATCATCAGCCCACACCAGCTGCTGTGGAACATCTTGAGTACAAAACCATGACATATATATATAACACACCGGTTTATGGTCCTTCTCCTTCTTGTGTAAATCAGCCACGTTGGAATGTTTCTTTGTCTGCTCTTGGTAATGGTGTTCTTTTTCATTGTGCGAGCTAGTAGCTGAGGGCTTCTTTTCTATCTTCGGGAGTTTACGGAAATCGGTGGTGGGAGGCTTATTGTGGAACAATCCAGCAAGCAATTCAGTAGATGGATCCTAGAACGAGACAGATGAACGCCTCTGGATAGCTCGATCGCATGCACATGTAACGTACTTTGTGAGCGACGGGTGTTACAGACGCTTTCCTAGAGTCTGAGACGGAAAGCGATCTACCAGTCAAAGTTGATGCCACTCCAGGTACCGGCGATTTCAAAGCAGACATAGAATCATGACGAGGAGGAGGATTCTACAAAAACAAGCTACGAAATGCAAGACGGATATTCAAATAAAAACAAACAAAAAACTAGCGAAGACGAAGAATGTGATGGTAAAGTTCTAACTTCTATTAAAAAAAGCTGTGAATTAACCTTCTCATTGCCGTTTCGTTGAGTTGAAAGAGGTCCTCTTCCAGAACCTAACAGACCCTTTGGTGTCGTCTGAGGCTGCAATGTCCCGTGATTTGATTGCACTTGCGCAGGTGTCTGGGACGAGAACTGCGAGGCGCTCGTCGTCCCCTGATGACTAGACAATTGCGCTGAGGTGTACGATGCATTTGAAACCGGGTGCATTCCTCTCGTATTGTTCGGAGCAGTTGAAGTTCTGGATGATGGACAATGACCAGAAATGCTTGTCGGACTTTTCCCGTCTCGGCTCTCCTGAATTAAAGATGAAAAATGCTATTTAAAATTCCTTGGAAAAAAACCGCTACCTGCACTGCCGGTTGTAACTGCGGTGGAGGAGGTGGAGCAGAAAGAATAGGCGAAGTTTGAGAGTCGGGAGTAGATGAAGGAGCATAAGCAGAAGAAGGGGTTGCCGGAAAGTTAGGAGGGGGAACGGAGAAATTTGGCGGATAGGCGATAACCGGTGCTGTTGGTGGAGCAGCTAAACGGACAGGTGGTGTGGATGCCGATGTGGAAGGTGCTGACTGCGGTACTCGCGATACAGATGCACTGCTGCATGGAGCTCCTGCTTTGCGAGAAGACTGCAATAATAAGTTTGACAATGACATGAAAAACGGATACAAAACGAAAGTCAAGCCTATAGTGGGCACACAACAAGTATAGAATGTGAAAATAAACCAAGATACGGTAACCTACTAGGGGTGAATCGAGGCGAGATGAAGCAGGAGTTGTGGCCGAACTATGAGAGGCGCTCCCTGGCTGAGGAATTGTAATCGACAGAGCCGGACGCTGACCGCTCGCATTCCGACTGAAACCACTCGACGATAATCCGCTAGCGGATGAAAGCCCTGAGAACGTTGCCACTCCCAACGGATCCGGCGCAGAAGCCTGAAATAATAGGTGGGAACAGATAGAAAAGATTAGAGATATGCAGCTTATTATTTGGATGTTTACCTTGACAGCCAATAAGCGCTCCTGAGTGATATTCAGCGTGAAGTCATCAAAGGATGACTTTTTCTTCTGGTTGATGCTTCGTAATCTTTCTTCGAATGAATCTGTGCGAGGCGTTGATCCTAACGCTCCAGCTTCTCTGCGCTTAGATGACGTTGGAGTGTGGTCCGTTGCTAATGACACCGAAGGACGGCGGTGGTGATGATCGTCCAGTTCCGCCACTCCGCGATGCGCCTCTTCCAGGGAAGCGTTCACATCTGTTAGTCGTGACCCAATCTCAGCCAGACGCTGAAGTTGAGTTTCAAATATAAAACTGAGATAGAATGGTCTGGATTTGTTTTGACTACAAACTGTGATTACCAAAACAAAATTTATTCTTCATCGAAGAAGAGCGAACCTGTAGAAAATATGACGCAAACTCTGGGAAAAAACACACCCCGCTCCAGCCATCAGCTAGAATTGGCACATCATCTGGCTCACAGAGCAGATCCAAAGCTGACGGTGGTGGTGGAGGAAGAGGAGCTGCATCTGGTGATAATTGTGCGTCGCTGTCCAACCCGCCACTTGCACCGCTGCTACTGGAACTTCTTGAGACAGTAGCATGTGTCGGCACGATTGAATGCCCGCAAAATGGGACATGTGATTGTGGAGGTCGCTCTGAACACAACAAGAATGCAAAAACTCCAACTAAATTTTCGAATATGACTGCACTGCCGAGGCTAACCTTCCGATAAAGAAGTGGTAAGTGGACGACTCGTAGAAGCGGTTGCAGATCCACCGCTCGCCCTGCGTTGTGACGTCGCATGAATCCCATCTACACTAGTTGCACTTCCAGAAGACCGTTTTCGCCACTCCCCCGAGATAGGGTGAGGTGGACGGTCGGCGCCGGCAAACGGAGGCAGAGGCAGATGTGAGGACATTGTTCGAGACAGCGAGTCATTGCGGGTCGATCGCGGATCGGGCAACGTCAAGCTGGTCTAAACAGAACGCATCAATTACACTATTTGGGACAAAAGTAGACAAACTTACATTATCAGGAAAGACGCAAGGATTCCTCAGAAGCTCGCTCCACGGCCATTTTCCCACCCGAGTTTTATGCGGCGGTTGCGAAGATGGATGCGGACGCGTATGCTGTGATGACTGACCATCGACTGAGTGCCTTTTTTGTGATGGATTCGGAGTGCCACAGCTTGATGGAGTGGCATTCGATGGCCCCGGTCCGGATGAAAGGGACTGGTGACGATGCTGAGCGGTGATAGACTGCAAGATGCGATAGAGTGCTAGGAAGGTACATGAATATATATGGCACATAACGAACTTAGGCGAATATGCATTTTTATGATGAAGTACGCAACACATCACAGAGCAAAGAAGTAGGCAAGAAAAGTTGATCACGAAAGAAAGCTTTGTATTACCTGAGCATCGTGACCATAATGATGTGGTTGATGGCGACTGGATTGCGAGTCATGACGGGAAGTAGAAGGTGGAGATACAAAGTGGGGATTGGAATGCGAATGGGAATTTGATCTAGAAGGTGGCGATCTTCGTCGAACTGGTGGATCAGCTGGCGGTGGAGAAGGCACATGTGGTAGCGACTCCATTGGTGGAGGTGCCGGCGGTGGATCAAGTGGTGGTCGCGAAACTTCATCGTAAAACCTATAACTTAAGCAAAATCATCAAAGATAGGCTGAATGAATACCTCCAAAAACGCTTACCCACTGTCACCACTTTTTCGATCATCTGGAGTTGGCGTCGCCGTCCCTGTTGGAGCTGTGACACCCGTTGACGGTGTTGTCTGAGGAAGGCGTTCTTCGGACACAGATGGCGAATGTCGCAGTCCCTTTCTGTCGTTCCATTTCGGCGTGTCTAACGGACTTCGTCGAGATGAAGATGTGTTTCGAGGTTTTCCTGCAGATATGCAACTTTCAGGTCTGAAAAACTCAAACAACTCGATACCATTACCGTTGAGGCTTCGGTCATTACGCAAATCCCGTCTTTCATCGCGTCGCCGATCTTTATTTCGTTGACTGTATGACAGAGGACTGGATGTTCGACTATCGTTCGATCCGGAACGAAGTCTAGTCAATGACGAGTCCTCACTCGACGATGCGGATGAGTCAGAAGAAGCGCTGAACAAGCTATTATGACTGACCTTGCTTCCATGCAGAAGTTCGATTGGAAAATTCTAAAAAGTGAGAGTACAAAACACACCTTGGTTTCCTCTCTTTCCTGTCTTTCTTGCGTGAGGATCCCTTCTCGTAATCGTACTTGGATTTACGATGCCTGCATCGTTCTTGTGATCGTTCTCGAGATCTCTCACGTCGCCGTGAATGGGGAGACGAACGTCGTTGCTCACGATGATGTTCGTATCGATAGCTGAACAAAAAGACAATGAATGAAAAAAAACAGAAAACGTATAGCGCTAGTACAAAATACGGAACATACAGAACAACGAAAAGATCAAAGATGAATGGCAACAAACTGATCAGACGTAACGTTCGAAGGACATGTCCCTCACCTGGGCATATCACTAGGTGGATCCGGGGGTGGTGCCAACAGTGCAGACAATGGGTCTTCTATCGCTACCGGAACGGCTCCGGTAGCAAAAGAACTAACGCTGTTAGTAGTAACCCCAGTTAGGGCCGTCGGTGCCTTAACAGGAATTCCACCGTGTTTACGGTCGATGAAGTGGTCGTGCAAACGGTCGGAGCAGAAATCCGCCGGTACACGTGCTTCACCACTCTCAACTTTGAAGACACTGAAATCAATCATTCATAAGCTTCCATTGAACAGTACAATAACATTCTGACTGCAATAAAACACAGCTGATGGTTCTCAATCATGAAAGCAAAATGCACACAAACAATCACAGCGGGCTTACAGCGACAGTAATGGTACTGGTAAATTTTTCGAACGACCCACGGTTGATCCAAGTTCCCTTTTTTGAAAAGTAAATACGTTGATATCGAGCAACATAGGCAAAAGGAACATTAAAATCTACTAGTTATCAGAATCCCAAAAACAGAATTTTCGATTGCGTTTGAAGATAGGAATCAAACCGCAGAGTTCCCCAATAGGCAATCAACGAACTCAGCAGATACTGCATTTACAGAAACACTCTGGCCGAAAAGCAATCGGCTGAAACGCAGCAAAAAATCTACCTACTGAAATGACCGAATTTACGCATTCAGAAAGAGTGTAAAACTATATATACTAGTGATGTGAAGTGAATGATAGCTAACAAGCAATCCACTGGGCGGTTCGGGATTGGAGTCATGCCAAAGGGATGCCGCGAGCGAGGGGGCGCTGGCACGCGCCACCCGTATCGACCCGCCTCTGCTATGCCTTAGGCAACGAAACTCATTCTCAGTGGTTGCCTCGTTTCATAGCGACGTTTCTCGTTTCTGTTTTCAAACCCACAAATCCCTCTTTCTGATTCAGGAGGAAGGTAATACCAGTTTCATTCACCAATGCAGAAGAACATTATACTAACATAAACCAAGCAATTGAAAGAAATCACTTCCATCTCATTTATATTTGGAATTAAGCAACAGTTATGATGGAAACTATATGAATAATCACTTACAATTGCTTAGGAACGCCAGCTTTGATGCGACTTAAAGCGGCCTGAGCTGCTTCAGTAGAAGAAAATACAACTATCGCTTGCCGCACACGCATGTCTACAACGACGTCCACAACCCCTAAACGTACCCTATATTACATTTGATTAGTGGATGACAGCTACTTACCTTCAGATAGCGAACGAAGTTTCTGTATAACATAATCCTCAGCGCACTGTGGAGGTATAGAGCCAATCCATAACTTGTTCGTCGTCATCGATCGGCCGAAGTTGGGCTGGAATTTCTGCAATAGATGAAGAAGTCGGTGAAAATAAAGAATAAGTATAGAACAAGTATCAGAAGCTAAATTACCTTCCCCTTTTTATTCGCAGGTACCCCAGCACTAGAATGTGCGTTTATTGCACGTACAGCAGAGTCTATATCAGCGAATTGGATGAAAGCAAAAGGCGAAGGCGACTCATAATTTTTCACATCGACGTCCAATATAGTCCCGAATTTTCCAAAACGTCGACGAAGTGTGTCGTCGGATATGCGACTTTCTAGGCCCCCAACGTACAGTGTACGCGAAGCCTGGAAGAAAAGCCGTGCTAGGACATTCTACGTGTGGTGACGGGAGCGCCTACTTTGGGATGAAACACATCTACATCGTTTCGAGTGCCGTTGGGAGAGGCGTACTTTGCTGGAAGATCGATATCAGCGCTAACAACGGCTCCGCTACCTGCTGGGCTGTTGAGAGAAAGGTAATCGTTGTATGCCTCCTGAAAACTATCTTATTAGCCGAAGCATGAAAGAAGGTGAGCATTTGTCCCTCTGAACTGATGAAATTTTTTAGAGCGCAAACCTGGCGATATAGTCAAAGAAGAAAACCTAATGGTCTATATAAGACTCGTTGGAATTACAACTAGCTATCAATGCTCTTGATCTTTGCTGTTCGCACCCATCCGCGGTACACTGACTATTATCTTGGAAAGTGATGTGTAGCTCATAATGCACATTCTCAAACCGGACAATGATGTTCTATGAAAGATTGGCCTATGTAACATGCAATTTCCGGACACTGCACTATGATCAAAATAATTGCGCACGCGAATGTACTGGCTGTTGAGGAACGCATGCTGCAGAGACGCATTAAATAGAACCAAAGCATAAGCGAGAAAGACAAATGACGCAAAAAACATTCACCTGCACAACAACATGACTGGCTGCTCGAATTCGCACTCGCATCGATAAAATGGATATGTGAGAATCATTTACGAGTTTCTCCATATCGACCACTCTAGAGTTAAAGCTCATGAGATAATCTGATAAAACAGTTAATCGACCAGGCACCTTTGAAAGATGACAAGCGCTTTGCGGGCATCCCCATCACCTTCAATCGATATGTCCACGATGCGGCCATGTTTTTTGAGCGCATCTCGTAACGCTTCTTTCACCGTTCCGTCACTACGAGGCGGGAGTCGCTCCACGTACACACCCTGTCAAGCCGTATTGCAGAACTGTCACCAAATCAACCCACAATCTGGCCATACCTGCAGTCCCCCCGACGGAATTGTTGGTGTGCAGATCGATGAGGAGCTTCCAGATGGACCCAAAGGCCCACACAGATTTACAGAATCAGGCGATCTCCTAAAAGACAAAATTTCATGGAATACTTTGCCTAAACGAACAAGTGGACACGACTTCAATGAACAGTCGTGCATTCTGTGCAAATAAACAAGAATTATAAATTAAATTTCGAGTTTTATCAGGTTTTTCTGCATGAATTTTTGCTTCAATTCAAAGTGGCTCTAACAAGAACTCGAGTTAGGATGAGTGAAGGATAAGAGTTCGCTTTGCGAGAGGTGATGTTGCTCTCGTAAAACTTTGGTGGGTTCGGTCTACAATGCTGGAACTAAGCTCAACTAATAGGGTCCAAGAGGTGACCAGACATTAGATGCGAAGTCATCCGTCACAGCGATGAGAAGCACTGCTAAATTTGGAGCTATCATCTATTCTATGACTAGGAGACTCAAGACGCTTTGCACATTGTCTATCCAAGCTTCAACGTGTGTTTAGCAAGTTAACTGTGTAATTGGGCAAGTTCGTACTAATCTACTTAAAAGATCACTTGCGAATTGGAAACAAACTGAAACTAATTCAGCCTTGTTTAGACAATGCAAAAGCGGTCTCGACTGTCCTAGTCAAGGAATAGATGATACGTACACCTTGAATCTCGAACAAGTCATAATTTCATCCGGAGCTAGAAGTTTGGTGTTTTTTTTGGGCACCATTTTCTGTATCGTTATAGCTAAAACAAAGACAGATCAATTTCAACTCGAAGGATATCTAACAAGCTTCAATTCGGGTGCTATCCAGCCAGTATTACTGGAGAAGTTGAAAACAAAAGAGTGGCTACTTTACGTTAAAGCGAGACACAACTCCCTTCTAGAGCTTTTTAACTGAACAACGTTCGGTTGTGCAACCAAATCTGCAGAGAAACTGTTTCGTGAAGTGGCTATGCTTTGAGAGATAAATTCAAAAAATACACAAGCTAGAAGATACATCATGGCTCACAGCGCAGTGTGAGGATGGAACTGGTTATAGACTAAAGGATACTAAAAACAAGACAATGGACTGCAGAGGTAGTCTTTCTCCGCTACTACGGTGAGTTGCAAAATTGCACTGCTCTTCTTTTGCTGGATCTCTTTCCGACACCATCGCAAGCCAGTTCTGCTCTAGAAAAAAGTAAGCACCTGCGCAATCAATAATGACTGGCAGCGAAACGGCCTCGTCATCACTGCAGGTTCGCTTACGACTGACTCATACTAACGCTCGCGCTCCTCTGCTGCAGGGCTTCCTAACACTCCACTAAATCTCACCAGTTGTGCAGAACAAAGCACAGCACGATTTAGCAGGCCAGGCAGAAAGCTAAAACAATAGCAGTGAAAAGTTTCGCGAAGTGTTGAACCAATTCAACGCTATTGTCTATGAACGTAGAGTGAAATTGCTGCATTGAAAAACCCGACCGTCTCATCAGATCGTGTGATTTTAGCATATTACATATCTATCTCAAGATCGCCTGTATAAGTGTCTTGATCGGTCTTGATAGACGCTCTGAGCTGTCTATCGTTTCATGTTTGGTACAAGTAATAAAACATCATTCAGTGATCAATTTGTGTGTGTCAATACGAGGTAAAGTGATATATGGTGAAATTAACAAGCACTCACCCTTGCTCCCGACGATGACCTTCTGATCGAACTAAGCGTTTTCCAGTGCCCGACATCAATCGAGGCAGCGATGTCCTGTAAAAGTGTAATGGCTTGTAGGATGGGCAAATGACAGGAAGTACTGGTGGAAAACCAAACTCCCCAATGAAAATCTTTTGTATGAAGATGACTTGCAGAACCAGCCCCAAACGATTCATAAGCAGACACATCTCTCACCTGCTGCTATCTTTTCCTCTAGGAGACGGAGAACGTCTTCGAGAGATTTCAGCAGCAGACTTCGGTGAAGCAGTACCGTTGGATGTGTTCGACAGGGATGATGACGTCATAAGGCCACTTAAATGAGACAAAATAAGGAAAAGTAATGGTCGCTACTGCAGGAAATGTTTCTATCATTTGATAAGGAAAAAGTCCATCGTAGCATCTTTCAACAAATAAGCTTCTATCAATTGTAACGTAACTGACGCTTAAGTGGTGATTGGAAACCCTAATGCAGAAGCCTTAGTCCAGAATCTAATCTGCGCAATGCTGACATCGTAGGTGTAATGCTAGATGAAAAGCCAGAATATGTTTAGCTACGAGGTACTCATAACGCTGCTAAGGAGTAACGATTTTTCACGTTGTTTTTTTGTGGCTATGACGGGCACCTAACTCCTGGCTTCCACAGTTACTGGACAAACCAAATTACACACATACGAATGGGAACACGAACAGACCCATGAACCAGATCTACTATCACCACTCTGATTTGAGCTGTCGTACAAGATCACAGCGATCGTTGTAAGTGTCAAAAAGCCACAAACCAACACAAATGGCCGGTCATTCATATAGTAAAAAGGCACATTGGGCTGCAGTAATCTCATACTATCACTTAGGAAGCTCAGTAGAAACAAAGATACCGGCTCCAACCTAACATGATGACGTCATCATCACTGGCGCAAGATCAAGAAACTGGAAGTCCCCAGCATCGATCGCAGAGCAGCGTCTCCTAGGGACTGCAACTGCCGCCGACATTACAGCGCCAGAAGGGGTGCTCAATAATGTTTCGAAACTCGGCTAGGCTATCGCTTCAATTAAGCTAACTCCGAGTAAAGATCAAATCCATCAATCATTGTAAAACCTTTTCCCAACGATAAATAGAAGATTATAAAGGATAAATCGATTCTGAAAAACCCTCCGAAATCATATTTTTGAAATAAGGGTGTGTCTTGGTACCCTGTGTTTGAAAGTTTTCAGTAAATCCGCAGACTTCTAAACGAGCTATATTAAAACCCGAACTAGGCTACACATGCGCTGTAATTAATGGTTTCGCCTGGAACAGATATTCGCTCAGCGACCTGAGTCAAACTGGGCAATGCAGGTCAACCAGCAAATTTGGAATACACATTCGTGGTAATCGATAAATTTTGCTCTCAAAAGCGATTTTGCTCTCAAAAGCGAAATCATGGAAATAGGGTTTTTCGCAAGTAGTTACCAGCAGTCGTAAGCCCAGTTTCCCCGCTGATATTCAAACATACGATTTTAGCAAGAAGCACTTCCTCAACCATAGCTGTTATGAGACCGATTCTAAAGGATGAGCACAATGCATATGAGTGCGCACGCCCTCGGAAGTAGAATAACACTTCTCTGATCAAACAAAGAGGAAAAGATGCACGTGAACGTCCACGCAGCTCTACATAAAGAAAATGAACGGGAGATACTACTACATATCTTCCAACTCAGGAGTGTTTGCGATAGACGAATATGCAGAGCGACACAAAGTTCGCTAGAATTAACAAGAATACAGTACTTTTTGGCGGCGCCAGGTTCGTGGAACGTGATCTTGAAAGGTAGTCCGGAATCCAATCGATGATCGCCGGCATGTGCCTTCTGAGCAGATCGTACGTCCATGAAACTCACGACGATTCCATCACAAGTTCGCTCGATCTGATGAACACGACCATAGCTGGAATACGCGAAATTGCATCCTGATGCAAGCATAGTGCTTTATACACAGTATACATTTCTTCGAACCCAGGAAGGAAATCTTTAAAAAACAGAACTAAAGTTTTTAATGTTTATGCAGAATTTGAAAAATTGCTTATTTCGAGCAATCTTACTAACGTTGAGAAGAAGGCGCTAATACGTTCATCAGATACAGAATCAGGTAATCCTGAAACGTAGACGTGGCGACTTTCCCGACCGATGTCACGAGTCGTATGCGATGATGATGACGTTGAGGTCACTGCCGAGCGTGCGTTTTGATTCTGCGGTGGTGAAGCGACAATGACCACCATTCTTCATGCGAAAGGTACTATATCGGTGGTCAATCAAGTACCCAAATCATTAGATCAATAGAATAATAAAGACGGAAATCAGTAGAGAGAATATGCGCAGGAACGCGCGCCGCTGTAGCTGAAAAATAAAATTTCGGATCAGCAGTAAATTTCAAAAATGATCGATAAAGATACGGTTTAGAATAGTGCAATGTTGAAGATGCCTTTAAGTAGGCCAGATGCAGAAGGCCAACGTGTCATTTCAACCGAAGGGATAGAAAATGGGCGAGAACTGAGAACCAATCAAGAAATATGCTTGGATAAGATGGAACAGTCACTGCGTGAGTAGATCAGATACACCACGCAAGGAAGCAGCAATGGTAGTTCGATCGATAGAGGCGTTTATGCAACAAGCAATTCGTTTTCTTTCTTGATGAGCAAATCAACAACAAAAACGGTAGTATAGTCAAGAGTTAGCCGAGCAATCATGCGCTTTATACTGGCTGTGCAAAAGCTAGTCGTGTTGATAAAACGCATTATATATTGATAGAGAAGATGATGACTTGAGGAACGATAGTGCTTAAGAATAGATGGAGAAGCCTGATTAAGTTATTGAAACATATCCAACTTTTACACACATGATTTCGTAATGCGGACTAAGAAAAGAAGAACAATCTTCATAGAAAAAATCAAATGAAATGGGAGGTTCAAAACAACTAGATGAGGAGGCTCGATTTGTAGAGGAGATCCCGAGCACAAATGTATGAGAGAAGTAACCCAGATCGGCGGCTGTCAACGAAATGTTTAGCAATGGCAGTTGTGGACCTGCTACGCGAAATGGACGATTAAAAATAAAATAGATGATCGATTCGATAGGTCACCAGGGAAGACGGCGAAGAGGAGCGATGGGGTGATTTTTGGTGGCGGGGGGCAAGACGACGACGACGACGGGTGGTGGGGGATACCGCGAGAGAGCGCGTTTTTGCCCCGTGGGGCCGCGACGCCGGCCGCCACGCGGGCCACCCACCGCCACCACACCCCGCTTCTCTCGGGGCCGCGCCCGCCCAGCCATGACATCGCTCAGCAGTCACTCGTACCGACATCCGTGCTGCGGGACGCCGCGGGTCGGGTTCCCATCGTTATTTCGGATCTCTGCTGATATCACTCACGCACTCCCATGGAGAACACGAGGAGTGTGTGTGCGTGATGGATATGGAACACTTACTGGTTGCAAATGTGTTAATTCTCATCCGCGTGGTTCACACACCAAAACCACATTTTAAATTACGCAGCTTTTTAGCTGCGCCTTGCTCCAGTTCTTGGGTTAGGGAGCTGATGACAAAAATGGAAAATGGTGGTCAGAAGAGAAGCTGGGAAGTTTTCTTTTTTTTCGAACGAGTTTTTACAAAATCATGTATTGTATCAATTACGAGCGGGTTTGAACTTGCATGCATTTATATGAAACGATTTGATTTGGTTACTATAATAGGGAAGTTTGCTGTCTTGTAAAGCAATTAACGGTAACAAGTTCATGGTTGGTGGCGTTTTCATGGGAATGCCACTAGGTTTGGCATTGTTTTTTCCCAATGGTTCTCTGCGAAGAAACTCGCTTCACTGAATTTCCATTCTTTTGGAACACCAAAAACCGCTACAGTATAATTGATCCATGGTTGTTAATTACTTCAAAATCGTAGCAGCGCTTGATGGTAGATGGGACCCTACCTAATGATAACAACAAGAACGCCATCTTTTCCAGGGAATCTTGTGAAAATGCATACAAAAAGCCACCGAAATATGAACCTAGTAGGGGCCACACGTTTCTCTCAAACTGCGCATCCTCGATTATCGGCCCGTGCAGGCAGGGCCGGATCGATATGCGGCAGCAGGCGGCGAGGTCGCGGGACGTCATGTGGTGCGGAACAGGCAGCGGGCGGCCAGAGGAGCCGCGAAATAGCATGGGCAAGCAGTTGCGCAGTTGGGTAGAACTAGTAAGACGACAGAGACGCAGGGTGCCTACGTGGGATGACAGGACGACGACGCGCGGCTGCGCGTCCTCGAGGCCGTGTCCGCGGCCGTCATCTCACGGCGAGGGGCCAACACTCGCTTTGTTCAAGATGGACATATGTTATGGATATTCACAAAAATGTTGGATGTTACGCTGACTTGTAAACTAGGGAAAATAGTGTGGAAACTGTTCCAGGTACTTCTGATGTTTGAGAGCCTGCACTCCTCAGAAGGGATGGACTCGCAGTCAGGATCCTCTTCACAGGTAGATTCGTTGGGCGGTTGGGCCAGCTCGCACTTACGTGGGATCGATTCGGTCCCCGTTCGTGAATCGATCGGGACGCGTAGGAACTCGCTCGCAAGAGCGGCCTCGTTTTGCGTCTCCGAGCTGCCCTGCTTGCTGGGGCTGTCCTTGCTTGTACTATGCGAATTTTGTGTTAGGGAGCTGATGGCGTTTAGTTAACTGGGGGGACTTCGAATCGTCGAAACGAGCGTTCGATAAAGTATTGGGATAGGATCGTTTTTCTTTAACTTTTTCTAACGATAAATAAATTGTGGTGAAATGGTGCTCTTTTGTTTGACCTTCCACTGTACTCCATGATCAAAAGACTTGTGACCACTTTGCACACATTGTCAAAACAAGCTTGAAATTTTTCTGTTCTCAAGTAACAGATAATCCTGAATCAGTTAGATCACAAGTGTAAACCTGTTGGAACACGATCAAGCTTGTTTTACGAGTCTCTTAGTCACAGAATGAATAATGATAGTACTGAACCGGAAAAGTTCCTTGAGCCGTCTCTCTATGAATATCCACATGAACGAAAAAAATCTGTGACTTGCACAAGTACATGTGTTGGGAAATCACCAATATAGTTGTTGAAAACAGGGTACTTTTCCGTTATCCGGACCCATTTTTTCAAAAGGTTCTCACAGCATACGTTCTTTAATCTATGAATAATTTTTTGTAGATTCTATGAAGATTGCCTCCCCGCCACGTGTCAGGAAAAATTTGACACTCAATCCATTTTGACTTGTTTTCTTTTGACATCATTTCCGATGAGGTAAAAAAGCGTTTGTGACCACCTAAAAGCCTTTCAACCGTTTTCTATAAAAGCAAAGCTGCTAGGATTTATAGCAGAACATCTTAGTTGCTTTCAGCAATAATTGAAACTTGTCTTCCTCCTCAAACTTTCCGCATGCGAATTTAGTCAGGAGAGACTATAAATTATGGCTTGTAGTATTTCGCTGCTGCTTGTTTCGCCGCTTGGATAATGGAATCCTCTCACACTTCTCCATTCTGGGCAAATCTAATCTGTCCAGGGATAACAGGATGACGTTATTTCTATAACAGTTCATTTCTGAAATCCTTTATTTGCAAATGGGGTCATTACTGACTTCAATACAGATTGTATTTACGTCTTTAGGCATTGCAAAACAAAACCTTGGTAAACCTCGTTAAGCCTATGGATGACATGTCGAATTTTTTTGACACGTGGAGAAGGTTGACACTTCTTCTCGTGAAGTTGGGACCAAATATGGTACAAGAAAAAAGCAATATCCTTCTCTGAATAAATGGGTCCGGACAGCGGAAAAGTACCGAAAACAGTGATAACACTGGAATGCAGAACTGTTATATTTTCCTTGTAGGTTTTAGGTGTGAGTGATTCTCCATGTAATTTCGTGACAGAGAAAAAAGCAAAATGGAGTTTCTAGAAAACTTTCCTTATATGGCTGCCGTATCCTGTTGTTCGAACCCTTATAGCTTTATTTAGCAAGTTGGTAACCCTGCAGAGCAAGTTGGCAGTCCACTGTACGGAAGTGAATAGATCAACTACTTTTGTTGTTGAATGTACTACAATACAAATGTACAATGGGCATATTCAGCGTTCACAATTATCCTAGAACCGGAATAAAAGGGTACTATCCCGAGTTTATTCTCAGTGCAGTCGAGGCTACGTCCGAACTGAGTGTGGGCCGTAAAAGTGTCCTTGCGAAAGGAAAAAGTTCTTTTGCTCTCCACATACATAATTTCATCGCGGCGCTAATTAGATCCAATTCTCAAAGTGCTTTCCTATGTTCGAAGTTCTGAGAATTGAACAACACATAGAGACGCACTCAAAGTGTTCGCGAGACACGAAAGTGCAGCTCTTTTTTGCGCTCGGGTGGGATTCATCGCTGTCGACGATTCACCATCGTTCGCGAGCATTTTCCGCAAAGGTTTTTTCGCGGCAATGATGACTGTTCTCAGCATGTGACTCTCAACAGCAAATGACAATCGAAAATGATGAGCGCACTCCAGTCGAAAGTCACATAAAACAGCGTTTTTGAGGATTTGCATCGTTCGCTGGTCATATGAGTGTTCGGGCAGGATGCGCCCCCAATCGATACGTTACGTAGCGTCTGGGAATGCGTGCTGCGTTGGCAGCCCGCTGTGCCAACTGAAATTCACGGGACTTTCGAAACGATCACGTTGCGCCTATTGTATGGGCAATATTTGCAGTTTGTTGAAATCGATATGTATTTGCGCTATGATTTGCATCGAAGCCGATGTCCCATTCTGTTCTGTCGTATAAATTTGCTTATGTTTGCGTCAGTATGTGGGAAGAATGAGCGTATTTTTTGTCCAGAGGCATTGTACTGCATGAATTCATTTTGTAAGTGTTCGTCTGCATCTGTACCATGTGCAACAACGAATTCACGGTTTGGGCCACAAAAACTAACTATCAGTTATAGCTCGGTCAATATACGGCGTCCATCCGAAGTTACAGTGCCAGACTCAACCAATTCGGCCGGATCCGGCTCACTCTCAGTAGTTTGACCAGTAGCGAATGGGTGACCAAACGATCCGGTTGAACCAGTCAAGTATGGCGCCTACTGAAATATAGTTTCTCGAAATTTGCCATGACTTTTGCTCAGTATTTTGAATCTGATGTCGATGTTGGTCCTAACAGCAAGTCAGGATAAGAATTAGTGTATAGAGTGTTTTTTTGTTGTCATAATGGGCTGCACAGTACCTTCCGAATCGATCGAAGGACGGTGACTCATATATGGTAAGTACGGACTCATAGGATCGTGGTGTCACGTTGGTGGTGTGGGTTTAGATTTCATCCTCTGTACACACATACGTTCCCCATATCTCCTTTCTGAGTAAACAAACAATTGAAAGCTGTGTGTGCACTGCTGCAGGAACAATCACCGGCTTTTTTCTGGACTTGAATGAGTGTCCTTTGCACGGTGTATTGTCATCCCTTCTCGCCAAATTAGTTGCCCATCATTTTACTGCAGTTCCTATCCATCTATCATGTTTTTCCAAGGTATCTTTGTTGACATTCGAATTGGGGTTACCGAGAAAAGTGCTGTTAAATAGTGCACGAAGATCTCACCGGGCTTCGTTTCCTAAATTCGAAGTAGGGAATACCATAGCAAGCTAACGAAATTTATTTTTCATGTACGGATTCTTCCCACGTTCAGCGTAGTGGAATCCGTTTAATCCCGGTAGCTGATATAATTGTTGAAATAAATGTAGTATCTGCAATTCTTTTTCCTGAATTTTGTCAATATCGATATTGAAGGGGCTGTGTTGTGCTGCTCCGGGTTACCGATCGGTGAGTACTGGTAAGGCCATAAAAACTAGAGGCAGTGGTAAGGTAAGGTAGTGAGAAACCTTCTTTACCTGCTGCTCGCAAACACTGATACTAAATTTCGTTGCTCTTGTTCCGTAGTGAATCACTTCTGTACAGATTTGACGCTTAAATGTGGACATGAATAAGAAGGGCAAGGCTTTCTGTTTTCAGTTTTCTCTTTGCACGTTGTTTGAGAAAAAACATTTGACTAAATGTGAAGTCGTAAATGGGTCGATTTGATGATAAGGTTAGCCATTTGTCGCACTTTAGGTATATCAAGTGAACGACGTCTAATTGTAATTCACTTAGTGGAGATTGTGTTTTTCCCCGATTCGTGCTTCACTACTGTCCACAAATTATTGAAAAGATGGTGATCGTCAGTTCTAGTCGCTTGTTATTTTCACCTGCGCGACAGAAGTTTTAATGTCATTCGTATGAAGGCCATTAAAACTCAAAGTGCAAATACATTATCGCTGCGATGTGATCGTCTGAAAGTATATCACGAGCCAATAATGGGAAAAAGCAGCTATAACCGTTCTGAAGTCCTCCGATTCTTCATGAATACGAATGAGAGGGAAAAAAGCTGATTCGGATGAAGAAGCATCGTTTAGTGTGGTAGTAGATGGTTTTTTAATTGTCAAGCAGCACTTGCTTCTCCATCGGTGTTCATACTCGCCATTACATAAAAATTTCTTCGAATGGAGATAGAGTAAGTGTACGGAAGATTAGGAACTCCATGTTTCACGCAGCTGAGCAACCACCATAACTCAAACATTACAAAAGTTCAAATGCAGCGATGTGCGATGGAAAGTGGGTTGTTCTCCTTTTTTCGTACTTTACGGCGAAACTTGTTTCCAATCTAATGTAGCAGTCTGCCCCTGCATTGTCAGCAGCGATAGCGAGATAGCGCGGTGACATCGCCGGAACCGCTTATCGCTCCATAACCTTGTAGTATTCTTCAAATCACCGAATTCCAACGCGTTATAAGATCCGCATTTTTGTGTCTGCTCAAGAATAATGCAACGATGACCTCTGCTGCGTCAGCTTTGAAAATTTATAGATTTTCTGTATTATGTGTGAATGCATACACACCCCACGTTGCGGGTAACTGATATGGGTTGATCGTTTCCCCTCGTTCTAGTTTCTTCATTAGATGCTTCATTTGGTACATTCAAAAGGCAGAAACTTATAAAAAAATCTTAGAAAAGCACTATTCTGAAGATCGTCCTCATGGCCAGCGACATTCGGGGTGCACACGCTATATGCATGGTTTGCGCATTCATACAAGACATATTACAGCCTAAATAGATTCCGCTCAGTATAGTGTGCTTGAGGTGCCAAAATTTGCGGGTGAACAAAGTGCTACACCTAATGCCGGTCACTTGCGCATGCAATATTCCGGCATTAGTGGTGCGTCTATTTGTTCACGCGCAAAGTTTGCCGCAGAAATTGGGCACACAAGCGCGCTTTATTGAGCGGAATTTTACTCTGTAAGGTAGGTGCCAGAGTAAGCGAATATTTTGTCCAGGTTGGGGTCCCGCGCAGAAGTGACGTTCCTCACCATGCTGGCGTCAATCCAAGTGACGTCAATTCTGCCCGGGACCCCAACCTGAACAAAATATTCGCTTACTCTGGCACCTACCTAAGTGACTGCATTTCCACATACAACAGCCAACATATTGCCATCGCAACGGCCACAAAGATTCATGCGGAAGAAATTTCCATGCTTGTAAATAAGGCTAACGACGTGAGTGGGAAAAACTCAGGCCATTTTTTGCGCGAAATGCGTTGGCATCGCAAAAACTACATTATTTCTCAAATCCAGTCATCTAATCAAGCTATGCATACCACGAGAACATAGAAATACCAGAAGAGGTTAAAATATTACATCAAAATCTTACAGATAAGTCCGCCCTTTTGACTCAGATAAGGCCCTATTATAACTACTCTGAAGTCTTGTCAGATAAGTCCGGACTTACCTGCAGACAGACTTATTTAATGCGAGGTCCTACCTGTGAGATTTCAAGGTATTTAAAAGATGCTCTGTTGGGCACTCAGTAGCCAGCTTGCCTATGTTGTAGTCTACTTTGCCAAAATAGAGTACAAAGGTGACGTCGTGCGTGGATGAAGAAAATTTTCCTACGAAATAAAGTATTGTTTACCAAAAACAGAAAACCGGTAGTAGAAATATTGTGCAAAAGATGGGTCTGTCAATCCCGAAATAGCAGCTATTTCACACATACACTAATATCAGTCAATTTTTGAGCACAAAAAGCCTTATCCTCATTAAGGCACTAGCTGAATTGGAAAAGCCTATCGCTTCAGCGCAGAGATGCTCAACTCTCGCTTGCCCATGCTATAATCTTACCTGAGCCTCATCTTAACTGTGATCTTGACGTCTAAGGGAACGGCCGTAGGTTGTCGGTGTTGTCGGTGTTGTCGGGGTTGTCGGAGTCAGAGACAGTTTAGAGAGCGCGCGAAACGTGGAGGCTATCATGAGGTCCTACAACGACCGCAACCTCGGCAACCCCGACAACACCAACAACATCGACGACACCGACAACCTATTTCCCTAAGGGAATGGTTCACTTATGTATTCGACTTCTTAAAGGCACCGTCCACCCAAATTGGGGTTGGTGAGATTATGATACCTAGCAGCTCCGGGGCCCCCAATTGTATGATTGCTCAACTTACGCTGCCTAAAGTTGCTTCCGAAGCGAGAAATTTGCTTCGGAAATCGCTTCAGGGTTCGCCACGTTGGCTCCTCCCCTTTCGAGTGGGCGTAACGTTCGTCCCGCCCATCTGTGCACGCCCAACCAATCACCTTTCCGAATAATCGCTCTGCGGATTCTGAAAACGGGGGTTTTTTCGTGGTTTTCGCTAATTTCGGACTTGATATTCGGAATCAGGGGTATGAGAAGGCTCTGGAACGGCAAAAACATGGAGGTTGAAATTTTGGGTGGACGGTGCCTTTAAGATTTGGCGAAGGCGACCTCACGGAAACGTTGCCGGTGAATAAAGATTACTACCATCTTGCCCCTTCGCCCAAATCTATACAATTATCAGCTGGCGTTGCATGTTTCAAGCGAACTTGGTGTTTCGTTTCACGAACTTGGTGTTTCGTTTCAAATGTAGGGACTACCGATCCTTGAACGATAAAGTTGAGCCAGTTTTGACTGGACGCTACATTCAAGGATGCTGCTAATGATAAACTCACAGGAGCATAACACTCTTCTTATTGATACTTAAGATATGTAACTAATACGTACATTTGCACCTTGATCGAACCCTCATCTTTCTTCATTCTGGGGATCTCTCAGCAAGATTGCTGAAAATTGTTTTCTGGGAATTTTTTAGGGATCCCTTAGAATATAGGGGTTTTTTCCACATACTATCTGAATCACAGTCGTAGAAAGGTATGAATGACTAGTGGACCAGCAATTCAAGGGTGCATTAGGTTTGCGAGCGTTCGCTGCGGGAGCCGCGCGGTTTCCGGCAATTTCACATTTTTTGAATAGGCAGAACGATTCCTTATATATACAGGGTGCGGCAAAAGTCTGGGAGCCTAACTTTGCAGTACTGCAATTACAAAGATACTGACGGTTTCGATTTCATCTTTATGTCACGTGATGCTGCGGTCATCCTCTACAGAATACACTTTATTTGGCTGGAAATGGCTGCCATATGTTTTTGTAAGAATGTAAATTACCAAACTAGTACTTTTGCAAAGCGAAAAAAACCAGAATTTTTAGTATTTACAATTTTTGCTGTAACTAGAGATGCTGTTGATATTTTACAAAACTTCGATGCACACAATTAGAAGAGGCTTTACGCTATTGTATCTTAGTTTTGCTTTTGCCAGGAGCTGTTCTTGCATGAACGGAAAATAAAGTTTTGCGAATGTTACCTACGTGCCAGTGGAAATCCGTCGTCAGAACAAATTTAAAAGCTATAGAATGCTCAACAGGCACTGGGACCAAGGCTGTATTTTTTTGCATACGTCTTCTAAATTAGAATCTATTGAAATTCGGCCATGGGAACACTTTTTATACTTTTTAAACGATAATTTTAAGCTTTTATTCGCGCGATTGTAGCCAAAATTCCGGTATGCGACGTGTACATGCTTCTAATTGAAAATCCAATATTTTCATTCCTAAGCAATGCAAAAAATTCTTTTGGAAGCGTTTTCTAGATAAAAGCTTGCTCTATCGTGCTGCACATTTGAAAAAGAAGCAGTTATTGTGAAGGAGTGGGGCGAATTCCATTACGACTACCTGCGTGCCATGACAGATGGACTTGCCAAGATTTTGTAGGGCTGCTTGGAAGCCAAAAGAGGCAGTTTTGCAATTCAAGAACTGGGCTGTATCTGCAATGGTTCGAATTATGTGTGCGCCAAATTTTCGTTTCTAGGTACTTCCCTTCTCGTTTTGTACCAAAAAGTACTAGGCTCCCAAACTTTTGCCGCACCCTGTATGTAGATTATGTGACATGTTCATATTACCCCATATTCGGAAGATTACATTCACTGTAATCAGTTTCAAGATTTTTGCGAAGGTCTCCTTCGGGAGAGTTTTGTTCTGGCAAGATTATTTTAAATGAAGAGAAATTATGAAAAAGAAGCAATTGAAATCTATACTTACCCACTTTAGATGAGTGGCTCTGAACATCGATAAAGTTCCTAATGCAATCATTATATTGGCAGATCACTCAGTTCTATGAAGTGAATGAAAGAAAAGAAAACCAAAGAAATTGGATCCTAGAAGTGCACATCGTACATGTGCAATCAGCTTATACGTGACCCAACCCCTACCGAAATACTGATTTTGTAAGTATGCTTCAAGATGATGTTCGTTATAGAAATCTCTCTGATAATGACTAAACTGATTGGAGTAAATCGCCACCCTGCAAAGCCATGGTGTAGAACATGGGTTTTTTTGGCGGCAATTTAGTACCGTTCTATCAATTTATTGCTTGCTAGTGGAGGAGGGCAAAATCGAAAGAAGGGTAGAATTTGCTCATAAACGATTGTATATTCAAATGTGATGAGGTTGCCAGCTCGCAAGGTATATATGAATAGTTTAAACAATCTAATAAAACCTTTCATTTGGAGCCAACATAGAGCAGCAAATTCAAACTGATAAGTGGATAATATGTACAAGTTGTATCGGTTGTTACTTGAATGAAAAAAAGAAGAAAAAGATGCGTTTCTCAGAAAATCAGTGAGTCAGGGTGCACTGAAGTAAATAAAAATTGAGCAAGTTTGACGGTGGCTAAGAAGAAGCAAAACAGAATCAGGACGAGATCTGAAATTTGTCTAATTGCATTGCTGCGCATATTTGACATTTCTTTCATTACCTATTTATCCAATGATATACGTAGGTGGAGCAACTTCATAAGTATACCTCCTTGGGCTGGAGATCACATAGTGGTTGATCGCCTGATATTGAGATGCTGGTTTTGGGAAATCAATGTCAAGGGTTATGCACTCACACTCCGTCCTCCATAAGATACAGGTTCTGCACCACTGAACAGAGGATCGTAGATGTAACCTGCTCTTAGTCGTCCCCGACCACCAATCTCATAAGTCCTGTGCTGTGGCCGTGAAGCAGGTAACTGAAATCGGTGAAAGGATCTATGTAAGCAAGTGCCATGGAATTTATCTCTACCCTGCGATTTTTATGCTGATTTCATGCGCATCCAAGAGTACGTATGCTTCGCTGGATACTTACGGAATTCCAGCATTATCTCTGGCTACAAGTCGTTTACTCACGTTAGAAGAGGTCCAGCATAGCACTTTACCGTGTGTTCTCATGAGAACTCCCCCTTTCTCGATAGACAAACTTGAGCATTGCAAGTGGAAATGTTAAAATTGTACTTCATGGGAGTTACCCTGAGAGGTAATGCTATCCGACGGATAATTTTATGACTCTTAGCAACCCCTTCATTGATATATATTTGGTAGTAAGTTTGAAATTGAATGAGGAAATCTGGGAAAATGAGAAGGATACCCAAGTGCCCAAATTAAAGCTGACGTTCTATGCAGTAGTGAGGCTTTCCAGATAACTATCATTGCAAAAATGAATTCAGAAAAGAGAAAGTTCTAAATGCCTAGAGGCAGCCACACCCACAAGATAAATGGTGTAAAGATACCGAGCCGAAACTGAGCCAAAAAGCACCCAATAATGTCAGAGGTTTCGACTTTGCTATGTGTAGCCCAGTCTCACTACCTCCAGACCAGGGCCCGGCACGCGTCGGTTTGGAGCATTTTTGGAAACAAAGTCCCCCATGAATTCGCGAAAATTTACGAAGTCCTTCTTGACGTAACAGTCAGTACTTAATCAAAATAACAATAAAAAAAAAAGCAAAAAAGCGCATTTTGAGGCACCTATTGTAACAAAAAAGCGAAAAGAAAACATTTTGAGTTAATTGAAGACCCTGTCATTGGGTAGGGTCCCATTTTAGTGCTCAGAATGTCGAAAATGTCGACTTATGTGAACTCTCCGATATATATGCTCTGAACCAATCCAGATGGTTTGGTGTTGGTCTAGAAACCAACAAATTCTGAAACGGATATTAGGACAATAAGTTTTTGAAACTTTTTACATAACATAGTTTGGAGTAATGTTGTATACATATTTATTAGCCAATTGGCGTCATGTGATTGTTTGTGCGCTGTAAACAACCCATTTGCTTGCTTGAGTCTTGCGTTTGAAATTCGCGCGCTTGCGAAAGAACATGGTTAACTCGTAAAACCTGACATATTCTCCGTTTTTTTATCGGCGCTTCCCCCAGGACCTTATGAAAACGATATCCCCGATGCTTCTAACTATGAAAACGAAGTCCAGTTTGACCCCAGAGCATCTGTACCGAGCCCTGCTCCAGACCACTCAAGTTGATATGCTGGCCTCTACCGCAACTTCTAAAAAAAACCTCGCTCTGTAAGTTGCTTTTTGCAGCGCAACTTGGGCAGTACTTAGTGTTAGTAAGGATCTCGCTATTGCACAGCATCTCCCCAACCTCGCATTTGAGTCCCTGGTGTCTTCGCAAAGCTCAAAAAATACGGCACCCACACTAATTACATATTTGATACAAAACGCAAAAACTGACGATCCGCGTCTTCTTCCTTTTTTCTTCATTACTTCCTTTAGATTAAAATATGAATTCGAAAAAAGCGGAATGCTCAGCTTGTCAAGGCCACTCTTATGATATACTTCACTATCGTGCATTCCGTTTACTTGCCCGATTTTGGAACGGGTTTTGGCAGTGGCGTAACGCAGCGTAAAACAAGCGTGGAAGAGCTCTGGTAAGTTCGGTAGAGCTGTCCCCGTAGATTATCACGCGCTAGCAGTCATCCGAGGGTTATTCCAGGGACAAAGATAGGCCGGTGAATTTTGAAAAAATCCATGCTACTTAGGTCTACTTACCACGACCCCACAGAAAGGCGCTAATTTGCAAAGCAGACGTGTTTTCCGTAATCAGCAGGCAAGATAACTCCTACATGCAAGTTTTCCAAAAATTCGGGCTCTTTGTTATTTTCGCGTTTCAGCCCTGAAGCTCACCGACGAATTTTGGCTAGAATATTGATGTTTTTGGATCCAACGGAAATTTTGCCCATAAAGGTTTTCGGACCCACTGATTACGAAAATGGTGCTCTTTGTACACCGTAACTCCTTCTAGCTGGACACTATGCTGAGAGAAGTGCTGTGATATTACGCAACTTCCTTTCGTCTGCACTTTTCGCGTATCTGTTGGGTAACTTACCTGCTCCTTTTTGTTATTTGAAATCAATAGGGATAGCGCCATCGGAATATGCGCTTTTATCAGGATTGATCGCCGACTGAGCTTACAAACTCACATCCTCATGAATATCGTCCAGGATTTGAAGATCGCATACTTTGGCCACATATGGTCGTGAATGTTTACAGAACGCTCTGACTGCAGATATTATGGTTATATTAGGTCGTTCCGAAAGTTCTTGCGCACGATTTTCAAAAATTCATAACTCTTTAAATTCTCAACGAATTTGTGAGATCAAAATTTTGCTAAGAAAGAAACTCATGCTCTTTGTACCTGTACCTGAACTGTTCGTTAATGTGTACAAATGAAGGAGACGGAAGCTCAAAACCAAAATCACTCAAAATTTGGATTTTTCGTGTAGGGTTATGAAAAATCGGAGACTTGCAACAAAAATCGGAGCAGTCGGTATCGTAGGTTCTTTCAGCAGCTCTTTCTAACGGTGCAAAGCTTGCGCAGATTGAGCGTCTCTATGAAAAGTTATGATTTTCGAGCAAAGTAATAGAAAAGGGCGAATTTGATTTATTTTGGCATTTTCAGGGAAATCATAACTTTTATAGAGACGTTCAATCAGCGCAAACTTTGCACTGTTAGAAAGAGCTGGTGAAAGAACCTACAGTACCGACTGCTCCGATTTTTCCTGCAAGTTTCCGATTTTTTATGACCCTACACGAAAAATTCAAATTTTGAGTGATTTTGGTTTTGAGCTTCTGTCTCCTTCATTCGTACACATTAACGAACAGTTCAGGTACAGGTACAAAGAGCATGAGTTCCTCTCTTAGGCAAAATTTTGATCTCACAAATTTGTTGAGAATGTAAAGAGTTATGAATTTTTGAAAATCGTGCGCAAGAACTTTCGGAACGACCTAATATATAGATTAGCTAAGTCTGAAATGGCACACAATTTAGAGACCTGTTGTACTGGCGCAAGCGCATATTTCTAATGCTTACTGCTGTACGCGTGTTCGATTGTCTTCGTGTCAGCAATACAAAAATTTCTGTATACAAATGAATTGCAACCAGTCAATTGCGCGGGGTTCAGCACCGTGTCAGTAATCTCGTCGTAAAAATACTCATCATATTATCGGGAAGTTTGGTAAATGTTGTGCTAATTGCGGGTCTACATGTATTGAAATTTGTGAATCAAAAATAAGCGCAAAATCAAAAAATTAAAAATCAAAAATAGTCCAAAAGGTTGAAAAGACTCCAAACTCCGCTATAATGTTAGTCCAATGGCGTACCAGTCCTCTGAGGGGAAGAGGACGCCCCCCCCTCAGAGGACTGGTCGCGAAATCGTAAATTTCTTACGAAAAAAATTACGGAACTTGAACAATTCTTTTATGCCGTACAGGTTTTTTTTGCCTGCACGGCATAGAAGAATTGTTCAAGTTATAAACTAAATGCCCAGGTTACAAGAAAAGAGGGCTTATAGTGTAATTACGAAACTTTTTTATATTTGTGAATAATCAATAGAATTTTTAATTTTCAAAAATTCAATTTAGCCTTACAGAAATTTTTTTCGGGGGCGTTTCGGGGTATGGACCTGCAAAGGTTCAGGAAGCATACCAAAAAAATCTTTGGAGGACTGACGCCACGCACCTTCATCAGAAAATATTTTGTCGCCCCCCCCCAAACGAAAATCCTGGGTACGCCACTATGTTAGTTTGGTAGTAAATGAAAAACAATATTAGAATGCTTCTTGGCTAACTCCAAAATTCAGGTCCGAAAGGGCTAACATATAGAAAGATACAGATATCCTCGAATCGTTGAGTGCACGAACTGAACATCATAGCGGCAGACGCCGCAAAGTTAAACGCTGCACCCAGTACAAAATGCCATTGTACAAGTCGTGTTCTCGCAACATTTCAGCAGCGTCGCGCGTGGCCCTGAGCAGTGGTGTCAGCGAAGTGAGGATAAATGTAATATGTGCAGTGACAGGTGGAATTTACTTCAATGTCGCTTCACTCTCCGAACAGGGTGTCTGCCAGACAGAAAAAGCAAGCAACGGCAAAGCGCGCAGCAGAGATTCAAGAGCATTGTGTTTTCGTAGGGGTACAGGGGGTGGTAAATATCGACTCTTTTCGAGGAAGGCGTCCAAAAGGGGTGCGGTTCTTAAGTGCAAAAAGGCTATAGTTGGGAAGGGGCCGACACTCTCGTAAGGTTGCTAACAGTACCCCCCCCCCCCTCTTTCGCAACTTTCAACTCTCTGTTGTATGATTGATTGACTTCGTGTGCTATGGGTTATCGGTTGGTTCTTTGCCTTTACTTCGTGCCAGACTCTCTTTTATAGGGTTACTGGGTGGTTCTTACTTCGTCATGACTTCGTGTCAGTCTCTGTTCTGTATCGTAGTTATCATCATTGAGAATGATCACGACCATCTTATACATTCTGTAGTGATTCGTCAACGTTTTCCTTTCTGTTCATTGAAAATCAGTGATGACTGATGCACACCTTTGTTGTTTTTGTAGGTCTATAAGCGTCTCGTAGAGAGCAGTTCTTGCATGTCAGTCTGTGAGCTATCCATGGATCAGTTGTACCTCTCAATTATCTGTCTGTATAGGGTTCGTGGCATAGTTTTTGTGGAGTATAGGGCACTTCTTACAATAATCGTTTGTAGGGCGCTTCTTTTTCGGACATGGGCTTGTAGTTAGCCTCAAAGTATCTCTGCAAGCAACCCAACGGGCTTTTCACCCGTAGACAGCGATTATTAGGCGCAGTTCCTCCTCAGATATTGGTCTATTTGGGGCGTAAAATATCATCATAAAATATCATTCGTATTTTTTTCAAAGGTTTTGTAGGGTTTTGTAGGGTTTTCCTC